GGGGCAGCGCTAATTAAAGCTCACCTCTTCTTTCAAGCCAAAATCATTGATTTTACTAAGGCTTTGGCCCCATTTTGGCCTTCTGAGGGGGCAGCGCTAATTAAAGCTCCCCTCTTCTTTGATCGATTTCCTCCAAGATGGCCCCAAGAAGCGCCCAGGAGGCACCAAGAGGCCCCAAGATGGCCCCAAGAGGCCCCCAGGAGGCCCCCAAGAGGATCCCAAACGGCCCAAAGAGGCCCCCCCGAGGCACCCAAGACGCCGAAAAGCCCATCAGGACGACCCTCTACTCGCCTGGGCGTCGTTTCTGGACGGGCAGGAGGAGGGGCCCGAACGACTCACACCAGGACGAGGGGCCCGAACAACTCACACCACGAGAAGCCCGAACGACTCACACCAGGACGAAGAGCCCGAACGACTCACACCACGAAGAGCCCGAACGACTCACACCAGGAAGAAGGGCCCGAACGAATCACACCAGGACGAGAAGCCCGAACGACTCAAACCACGAGGAGCGCTTTCTCTCCCTCCTCCTCCGCCTCGTCCTTCTCCCGCTCCCACCGCAAGGAGGATGTACAAGGAGGCGGGAGGAAGGAGGAACAGGGGAGTTATGCGGGGGCAGGCGGAAACACGCCTGAAAAACACGACTGTCGGCATGCTTCGCTAGAGTTGCTGTTTTGAGATGGGCTGGTGGGGATACGCGAAGCGTGAAGAATTCTTGCTTTCTCTGTATACCTCCGCGCAGGATGCCTCCCGCCCTCGCTTTCACCTCATCACCAACGCAATCGTTATCACACTGACCATCATCAGTACCACCATCACCGTCGTCATCAGCACACTCACTCACCACCATCAGCACATTCTCATTCACATGCCTTCTCTTTCACCACCATCACCGTCACAATCGCTATCACATTCATCATCATCATCATCATCGTCATCATCATCCCTGCCACCAGCATCATCACCCCCAGCACGCAACCATGCAGCATCACCTGCACACTCTCACACACACACACTCGCTCTTCATTATTCTCGTCATCAACATCAGATTCGCTCACCTCCTCATCAGCATCATTATCACCATCGTCATCACCACTCACCCTCGCTGGCACACTCATCACCATGGCCACCATCATCACCATCACTATACACACATCATCATTACCATCAGCATTATCGTCATCATCGTTATTCAGCATCCTTACCAAGCAATGACTACTCACCACCATCACTCACCATCGCCATCACTATCACCACACATTCATCACTATTACCATCCCACCGTGACTATCGACTAAAAGGGATCCTCGTCTGTAAGTTTATAGTGAGGCTGTCTCAGGCGGGAACCCCCTCTCTTTGGGGTCCGCGCTTCATGTTGGTAATCCGAGCGGGTCATCGGAAACGTGTAGTTGTCGTCAATTGTCGGTTGTTCTGGATTGAATATTCAGGAATTCTCAGGTGGGAGCTTCGTCTGTGAGTGAACTTCGAGGGCGTCTCAGGAGGAAGCCCCCTCCCTATGGGGTCCGCTTTTCATGTTGGTAATCCGAGCGGGCCATCCGAAACGTGTAATTCGGTTCCTCTGGGCTGATTACGAAGGAAGTCACAGGCGGGAACTTCGTCTGTGAGTGAATTGCGATGAAGTCTCAGGCGAGAGCCCCTTCCCTATTTGGTCCGCAATTCGTGTTGGCAATCGAAGCGGGTCATCGGAAACATGTAATTGACTTTATTTTTCGGCTCCTCTGGATTGAATATGGAGGAAGTCTCACGCGGGGGCTGCGTCTGTGAGCCTCAGGCGGGAGCCCCTTCCCTATTGGGCCCGCGCTTCATGTTGGTAATCCGAGCGGGTCATCGGCAAACTCTACCTAACATTGCATTTGAGCACCCCCAAGGAGCAAGGACGTCACCATCGATTTGCGCCAGGGATAAAAATTCTGGTCGCACAGGCATGGCGGACGAGCACTGGTGGCTGCACTTCTCCGTCGTGTTCTTCCGCGCCACGCGCATGCGGAACATGCTGACCCTGCGGCAGCCTACGCGAGAGTTCCTTGAGCGCGGGCCGCCGGCGTCCTTGCGGAAGGCGCTCGAGGAGTTCGACAAGAGCGCGGTGGACTCTAGGGCTGAGGCGGAGCAGCTCGCGGCAGAGCTGAACTTCGCGCTGTCTCCCGCCTGGGCGCGGCCGCGACTAACTCGGTGTCTGCGGGGTTGTCCCGCCGGCTCGCTCTCGCGCCCGGGCGGTTCGCGGGGTTGTCCCAACGGCCGTTGCCCCGACGGCTTCGTGATTTTGTCATCGGAGAACGCGCCCCTGCCGGGGGCGGCGGGGCGGGCGCCGAGGAAAATCTGCACGCGTCCCCCTGCCAGGAGGAAGGAGAGGTGCATGGGGCGAACAGGCGGGGTGGAGATGAAAGGGGGGGAGGAGGAGGAGGTGGTGGAGGAGGAGGAAAAGGATTCAGGGAAAAATGAAAAATTTAACAAGGAGGGCGAGCAGGAGGAGGAGACGGATGACGGGGAAGACAAGGAGGGTGAGGAGGAGACGCAACAGAGGGCGAGACGGGGGCTTTCGGCCAGGGCGAAAATGAAACGGCGAAGGACAGTCTAAATATGTTGTCGTGCGGGGTCCGACCACCGGAGTAATATCATAATAGTATGTGTGATAATATATGGAAAACGGTTCAAGCATATTTTTATATTTTCAGATATTCGAAATTCTGTTATGTTGTATTATACTACGTCATGGTATGTTGTGTCGTATACCAATATTTGGCATGGTACATCATCTGCCATGTTGCATGTGATTCCAAACCCTCCTTGGCTAGGTACTCGTTGTCTCCTCTTGCGTTGCTTGGGGGGCTGCGATATGCTAAATTGTCTCCACTTTCGAGGGCTGCTGGTGGGTCCAACGGAGTGAGGCAACGTGCAGACCTGAGCGAGACCTCGCCGTCCCTGGGGGGCTGCGATTTGCGAAGCTGTCGCCATTTTCGAGGGTTGTTGGTGTGTCCAGCGGGGTGAGGCACCGCGCAGACCTGAGCGAGACCTCGCCGTCCCTGGGGGGCTGCGATCTGCGAGACCGTCGTCATTTTCGAGGGCTGCTGGTGGGCCCAGCGGAGCGACGCACCGCGCAGACCTGAGCGAGACCTCGCCGTCTTTAGGGGGCGGCGATTTGCGAAACCGTCGCCAATTTCGAGGGTTTCTGGTGGGTCCAGCGGACTGAAGCACCGCGCACACCTGAGCGAGACCTCGCCGTCCCTGCGGGGCTGCGATCTGCGACGCTGTCGCCACTTTCGAGGGCTGTTGGTGGGTCCAGCGGACTGAGGCACCGCGCAAACCTGAGCGAGACCTCGCCGTCTTTGGAGGGCTGCGATTTGCGAAGTTGTCGCCATTTTCGAGGGCTGCTGGTGGGTCCAGCGGAGCGACGCACCGCGCAGACCTGAGCGAGACCTCGCCGTCTTTAGGGGGCGGCGATTTGCGAAACCGTCGCCAATTTCGAGGGTTGCTGGTGGGTCCAGCGGACTGAAGCACCGCGCACACCTGAGCGAGACCTCGCCGTCCCTGGGGGGCTGCGATTTGTGAAACTGGCATATTTTCGAGGGCTGCTGGTGGGCCCAACCGGGTGAGGCACCGCGCAGACCTGAGGGAGACCTCGCCGTCCCTGGGGGGCGGCGGTTTGCGAAACCGTCGCCACTTTCGAGGGCTGTTGGTTGGCTCGCCGCTTTCGGAGGCTGCTGGTGGGTCCAGCGGGGTGAGACGCTGCGCGGATTTGAGCGGGACCTCGCCGTCCCTGGGGGGGGCATGTCATGTTGTTGCCGCCCCGCCGACGTTCCAAGCCCATTGCCCACAGTGTCCGTTTGGACCTTGCGTCTTCCTTAGTGGTTTAGGGGTGCACTTAGTTACTCATCGTGTTTCCCTTGATTGGGGGCCTGCGAACCTTCCGAATGCCGCTCGCAGAAGTATATGCGTCCATGTCACGTCGCCGCCTTCTCGTCAAATCTCCCAAGCTACCCCTGCCCCGCATTGCGCAGGGTTTGGGTCCGTCGCCAGGGTGAGTTTGGTTTGGTATATTATTCTGGATCCCATCATATTATAGTCTGTTATGGCGCAGTATACTATGATATGTTATGTTATGGCACATTCGATCCTACTGCGTTATCTTCTATAGTGCGATAGTGCATCTGCTATTGGACAACATGGCCTGATATCGTATTAGCATGGACTATGTGGGTCCTATTCTACCATGCTATAGCATCGCATTGGGGATTACAGTGTATGTTCGATTCCACTCGATTAGAATAGTGTACATCGTAGTCCATTATGTAGTATCTCATGATATCAGATTTATAGGATGAATTGTTCCTCTATTCTATTAGACAACCATGTCGTATATTCTAGTGTATGAGGTTTTAATATAGCATACCACGTTCTATGTTTAAGTGTTCTAGTTGGTTTGTTTCGTTTGTTCTGTTCTAGCACAGTGTATTATTTCTGTGTCATTATTATATGGACTAGTGTGCTCTACCCTATATTAGTTATAGTATAGTCATTAGTATAGTGTGTCATTATATTGAATAGTGCCATTGTATAATCTATCTTTTCTAGTATGCCATAGTATGCTTGTATTAGTTGTTATGTTCTATCTCGTCATAGAATTTCGTTTCTACTACACAATAGTATGCTCTATATTGTTGCATTGCACCTCTATTGTTTGTATACATAAACCTGCTAACGTGTATCGTGATCTATTATATATATACATATTGTTATTCGATATTATATCATGATACAGTATGTCATTTCATGGGCTATTGCATTATATGTCATGTCAGTCTACTCTATCATGTTTTATCGTAATGTTTTGCTGTATTTTTGTTCTCATAGTTACAGCCTATGCAATTTAGGGGAATCGTAGACACTCGCTATCGTTCTCCTTTTCCTCCTTCCCCTGATCGCCCTCCTCCTTCTCCGCATCGCCACTCCGCAGCCATTTTGGCTCAAGCCGCTCAGCGCAGGCTGGGGGCAGCAGCAGGGCCGGGGCCCCGGGGGGGGCCCTTGGCGATGCCAGCGGGCCCTTGCCGCGGGCACGTCCACAGCCACGGCGGACGGCGGAGATTGCGAGTTCGGCCTGGTTGGCACCGCGGCGCTGACGCACGACGCGCCTCTTACGGGGCCCACGCTGCTCGTCGCGCAATTCCAGGAGTCGCCCGACGCCGTGGACAGCGGAGCCGCCCCCGAAGCGAGGTCTGGGCAGCAGATGGTGCAGGATGCCTCTGCCGAGAGCGTCTGCGAGCAGGAGTTCTGGAGCCGGATCCAGGAGGCGCACGCGGCCAAGCAGGCGGAGCAGTGGCGTGCTGTGCAGGCGCGCGTCATGGCAGAGGAGTTGAGGCTGCAAGAGGTGCGCCTCCGCGTGGAGAGGATCGGCATCACCCAAACATACTTACACTACGTGCGCGTCGCCCCCAGGGGGCGACGCGCGCCCCAAGAAATCCTACGGCATATGCTCGGTTGCGGGCGATTTCTTGCCATACCGCTGGGGTAACGATGCATCCCTCAATCCAGGTGCCCGGTTCTCGCTTCCGGGGTCCCAGACAGTCCAAGATGTTGTGGTTTTCGGGTGTAAATACCGGTTCCCGTTTTTGAGATCCTGGCAGCGTAAGGTTCTGGGGTTTGGGATGGCCACAACCAAGCGCCTGGGTCTTTGATCGTAAAGAATACAGAAGCCATAGAGTTCCGAGCAGAGTTCACCAGAGGGATTGGAGAGAGGAGACAGAAAGATAGAGAAAGAGAGAGAGAGAGAGAAACAGAGTATTTGCGACAACTGCTAGATATAATCGGCTACGCGTAAGAGTGACCCTTCGCTGGAGAAACCTCTTGGTGCTGTCCCAAGAGCGGGTCGGCTAATTTTTCATTGGGGTTGGGATCGCCCTCGCGTCGGCACCCGCAGCGTGGCTGCGCGCTTGCACCTGAGCGCGCCAAGAAATGACACCTCCCCTCGCAATCGACCAGGACGTATGCGCGGCGCATATCCTACAGCGCGCGTTGGTTTCCCGAGGTGGGGTTTCCGCCCCAGGTTCAGGACCGGTCTTGCGTCCGAGCCCAAATCCCAAGCGTTCCGGTGAACATCGATTTAAATATGCTTGAATTATTTTCAATGTTTTGGATTTTCTTTTTAAGAAATTGCCCAAAGATATCCCTGGGAACCACGACCCCGCCCCATTCCAGCGAAAACTTCTCACTGCCGCCCCTGGATGTGATTCCCCCCGGCCCCTGAATTTCAAAATGTGACTTTCGCCTCAGCGCCGCGCACATTTGTCTTCGAAGTCCGCAAGAGCTTCACGGATGGAGGGCGCGTCCTTTTTCATAATGTGATTATCTCATTAGCGTCTCGCTTATTTGGTTAGAACACTTTCACCAGCTTCAGGGATGGAGGACGGGTCTCTTTCAAGATGTGGCTCTCGCCTTAGTGCCGCGCGAACCCCCCTCGAAAGTTGAACAAAACTTCACCAGTGGAGAGTGGGCCCCTTTCAATATGTGGCTCTCGCCTCAGAGCCGCCCATCTTCTTTTAAAAAATAAGAAAAGTTTCGCGGATAGAAGGCGGGTCCTTTTCAGCAAGTGGTTCTCACCTTAGCGCCGCGCACACTCGTTTTGAAAGTTTGCATGAGCTTGTTGGATGTACGTCGGGCCCTTTTCAAAACGTGGTTCTCGCTTTGGCGCCGCGCGCATTCGTTTTAAAGTTCTGCCAGGGCTTCATGGATGGAGGGCGGGCCCTTTTCAAAATGCGGTTCTCGCCATAGTTCCGCGCACATTTGTTTTGAAACTCTGCAAGAGCTTGTCGGATGGTGGGCGATTCTTTTTGAAAATGCAGTTATCGTTTCGTCGCCGCACGCTTTCGTTTTCACAGGTTGTAAGCGCGTCGCAGATGGGAGGCGGCTCATTTTCACGACGTGTGTCCCACCAGAACGCTTCGCACATTCGTGCTGAAATTTGAAAAGGGCTTTACGGATGTAGGGCAGGTCTTCAAAGTGTGGCTTTCGCTCTGAATCTCAGAGACGTCACGGATGGGGGGCGGGTCCTTCTCAGAATGTGGTTCTCGCCTCACTTCCGCGCACACGTGTTTCAAAATTTTGCAAGAGCTTCGCGGATGAAAGACGCGTTCTGTCCAACCTGTGACTCCCGGCCTAGCGCCGCGTTCATGAGTTTTAAGAGTTTTAAAAGGCTTCGCGGATGGAGGGCAGGTCTGTTTTCACATGTGGCCATCGCCGTTGCGCCGCGCACATCCGTTTTGAAAGTTTGCTGGAGCTTCACACATTGAGAGCTTGTCCTTGTCAAAATGTTGCTCTGTCCTGAGCGCCGCGCACATTGCTTAAACAAGTTGTGGGAGCTCCACGGATTGAACGCTGGTCTTCTTCAAGCGCTTATTCTCGTTTCAGCCTCGCGCGCATTCGTTCAAGAAGTGGGCCAGCACATCACGGATGGAGGGCCGGACCATTGCTAAATGCAGTTCTCGCCTCAACGCCCAGCACATTCGCCGCAATTGTTTGCGAGAGCTTCGGGGATGGAGGGCGGGCCCTTTTCAGAACGCGGGTCTCGCCTTATCGCCGCGCAGTTGAGCTTGAGACGTTTGGAAGAGTTGCGCGAACGGAAGGCGGGTCCTTGTCAGAATAATGGGGAAGTCAACGTGAAACACTGCGTTGTGACACCATGCGTTGTCCCTAATATTCGTGCGCGCGTGCGCGCCCTCCCGCTTTCGCAATACAAAAGCCGAACCACTATGGCCATCTCAACCTGGAAGATTAAATGGTGCCAACAATCTGTTCCGCTTGTATCCTGAAGGCCTCAGCTTGGAATCGGTTTCTTCTTTGCTTGTGCGCAGGCGTGCGCGCGCGTACACGCGCGTGCTTTCACGTGCGCAATCGGAGAATCATAAAGAAATACGATCTTGAGTTCAAAAGAGTGAATGTTGAACACCATTTGTGTCACTCGTTTTCTGAAGGGCCCCAACGTGGAATAATATGGTGAATCCGCGCATGCTCTTCGATGCCCGCGCGCGCGCGTACGCGCGCCTGCGCTCACTCTCGCGTGCGCAGTACAAGAATAAACAAACACTAGCCATCCCAATCTCGACAACGGCATGGTGAAAGCGATCTGGTTCACTCATTTTCTGAGGTCCTCAATGCGGGACTAATTACGTATTGTCACGCAGTGCGTTTTCTTCAGTGCCCGCGTGCGCGTACTTGCACGCGCGCCTGCGCGGGCAATCAGAAAAATGCGCTGTGTTACAATACATTATTCCACATTGATGCCCTCAGCATACTCTTCATTGTTTGTTTGGACTGCGCACTCGCGCGTGCGCGCGCGCCCTGGCAATGCGGAAACCGCAGTGCGTCGCAATATATCATTCTACGTTGGAGGCCGCATAATACGAGTGAGCAGACATTTGTTGCACCATTCCGTTTTCGAACTTGAGAATTTTTCTTTTCTTGCACACGCGCACGCGCGCTAACTTGCGCGCGGGACAGAAGGAAAACGCATTGCGTCAGAATACATTGTCCCACGCTGGGGCCCACAGAATACGAGTGACAAGTTTAGCTGTCACCACTCGATTTTCGAATTAAGCGCTGTCATTCTTAATCCGTTTTTCCATTGCGCCCGCGAGATCGCGCGTATTCGCGCGTATTGTCATGATTGCTTGTATTGCGCACGCGGGATCGCGCGTGTGCGCGCGTACGTGCGTGCACGAGCAATAAGGAAAGCGCATGGTGCCACAATACATTATGTCACGTTGGGGCCCTCAGCACACTTTCGCGTGGGGATTGCAGACTACGAGTGGAACATATGGTTTCCGCTATTCGCCTTTCAGAATGGAATTTGCCATTCTCTGTTGGTTTTTTATTGCGCACGCGAGGGTTCGCACAATACGAGGCGCATGTTGTCTCCCAGCACATTATGTTATGACGGGGTCCTCAGGACATGAGTGGAGCAACTCATTTCACCATTCAGTTTTCCTAGCTATTGTTTTTCGTGTTGCGCACGCGCGCGCATTTAGAGACATAGCACCCGTCGCAATTCCCCAGATCGTATTGTGCCACAACACAGAATATCATGCCGCCTGTCCGCGTGTTTGCCGACATTGGGACTCGGTGCTCCCAGATTCGCTAAAAGCCAGTCTTCGTGCAGTAAGCTAGCCCAGCGATCGTTGTTACGTTGCACTCAACAATAGAGATCGGATCTTTAAGATGTTTCATTTGTTGAAAAATCACCCGCCTCCGCCGCCTCACCCCCCCCACCCCCCCGACCCTTCAGCCCGGAGGATTTTTGGCATACGGGTGCTAAATATCGCAGTCGGCTCGGGGTGGGGCTATATTTCTAGGACAGCGGGGACCTCCAGGGCCGCCGAGAAAACTCAGTAACACGTGTGGGGACGCAAAGAGAACCGTGATGGGTCGTCCAGGCGGCGAGAGAGAGAGGCTTTCCAGGATGGCCAGAAGAAGCCCACCTCATCAAGCTCCCTGTGGGAAGCCTTGAGGATCCGCGGGGATCTGGAGGACACCTTTGGGATCTACGTGAAACCCCAGAAATCCGAAGGAACCTGTGGGAATCCTCAGGAGTTCTGAACGAACCCAGCAGGGCTGTTCAGGAACCTTCCTGGGGCCGGCACGGGTCCTTCAAGAACCACCAGGAATCCTTGAGGAATCCCGGGGGACGTTCGGGAACCTCCAGGACAAGGCAGAAACCTAGAGGGCCCCGGAGCACGAACGGAGGAGGAGTTGGGGGGGAAAACACCTGCGGCCAGGAAGGTGCCTTGGTTGCAGCGTGGCTTGTGCCACAGTCCGCGCGCCCCTCGCTGCTCGACCGCACGCGGCAGGAGGAAGCAACGAGAGCACATGGGACCAAAGACAGCCCAACCGAAGACAGGCGAAGAGAGTCCAAGACGGCCCAAAGACAGCCCCGAACAGCCTCGCTAACCTACAACGGCTTGAGCCTAAGTTGAAGTCGGGCCTGTCCCTCTACAGGAGGAACATTCAATACTAGCTTAAATATAGTAAGGGGACGATTGTTGGACTATTTTTGACTATGTTTGGGCATCTTTGACTATTTGAGAGCTTTCGTCCAAAATCCGCGTATAGGGGGACATGCCGTACCTAAACTTAAGTCGGCCTGAACTCGCGAAACTCCTCGGAATGCTTAGTAACCTGTGAATGCCCGCAAGAATCCTTCCTGAACCCGGCGGGAACTTCCACGAATCCTCGGGGAAATTGCTGGATTCCTTCCAGAATCTGCAAGATTCTTTTTTCAGGAATTCTTCAGGAAGCAACAGGAGTTCCCAGAAACCATGAGGGAGCCGCTGTAGCCAATAAAGAACCCAAAGTACCAATCCTTCAGGCACCCTCCCGGGATCCTTAAGAGTCCTTCA